AACCAAAACAAATTATAAGTGATTTAGAATGTAAGCTTCTTTAGAATAGGGATTATTTTATTATTTGTATTTGTGTCCTCAGTACCTGCAACAGAGCCTGGCAAAATTAAAGGTGCTTAATAATGTTTATTAATTGAATTGATAGGCCAGTGTCACATGGGTGACAGGGGTAGAATTCAAACCTAGGTCCTACAATATCAAATCATGCCACTATATGACTCATTCCACTGTGCCGTATAGGTTCTGTTCCATTATGCTCTGTACAATTCCTGTCCTGAGCAGTTTGCAATCTAGTTAGGAAGACACAGTGCCCACATAGGAAGAGTTAAATCAAAATACTAGAAGCAAGCAACAATTCAAGAGAATCCATTATTTGATGTTTCCAGGAAGTATGTAATAAAATTTGAGGGACACATTTGAGGACCTAGGGGGCCACACATGACCTTGAAGCCTCAGGTTCCCCACCTCTATAACTAGATAGCTAGCTGTACTATTAAGGCTGCCTTCATACCATCATGGTATCTTCTAAACAGTCACATAGATTACAGATAAGCTAAGTGTGTTTAAGCTGATGAGTTTTGGATATGACATGCTACAGAGTTATATGGGTAATTAGTACTCTTCTCTTCTCTTAACCTTCTCATTCAACAGAATCCACACCAACCTCTTCATAACTTTCTCCAGTACAGCCATATCCTCCCATGCCTCAGAAGATTCTCCTTCCTCCATGCCCTTCCCCACATATCAGTTAACAAAGGCATGCTTGGCATACATTAGATCGAATTTGTGGTCTAGGTGAACTCAAGCCTCAGCAGTGGCTGTGATGTTGCATAACATGCACACAGACCTCTGTACCTTGGCCTGGTCACCACCAGGAACCACATTGGATGGCTAGTAATTGAGGCCAGCTTGAAGCCAAATGGGCACCAGCCCACAAACTAGATGCTATGCTTTGTCTTGTTGGTGGCGATAGCAGCATTGACATCTTGGTGAGGGGGACCATCACTACAACTGAGCAGGCAGCAAGCCATATATTTACTGTGGCGTGGGTCACATTTCATTATCTGGTTAGCAGGCTCAAAGTAAGCATTGATGATCTCTGCTAAAAAAAACTGCTCATGGTAGGCTTTCTCAGAAGAGATGACTAGGGCATATGTGGCTAGAGGGAAATGGATCTTGTCACCTGGCATCTATTCATCAGGCTGGATACCATGCCCTAGGCAGTACAACTCCCAGCAGGAATTGCCATTTTGGACACCAGCTTGACCAACATGGATAGAGATTCACTCATGCTCGGTGGTTGATGGATTAAGCAGTGTTTATGGCAGCAGGAGCAGGGATACTGGAGTTCTTCATATTTGGAGAGTTAGACATAATCTCAGAAAAAAATATTCTAAATAGGGTTTATGCTATTATAGTTCCTCAAAACTGATCTCTCTTCTAAAGGTCCTTATTTCTGTTTTGTGCACTACAATCTTTCCACTGGGGAAGCTAGGTGGTCCAGTGAATAGATAGCTGGACCTAGAGTTAGGAACACCTGAGTTCAACTCCAACCTCAGATTCTCATTAGATGTGTGACCCTAGTCAAGTCATTGAACCCTGTTTGCCTCAGTTTCTTCATCTGTAAAATGAGCTGGAAAGGGAAATGGGAAACCACTGTAGTATCTTTGTCATTTGTTGTTCTGGTCAAGATGAGGTGAGGAGGGAGGGGACATTGACTCCATCCCAAACCGACTTTCAAACAGTTCTATTCCAGGGACCTGGCTCAAGCTTCTCTACAACTAGGCTAACTTCTACAGAAATTCCTATTTCTTCACTGGCTTGATGTTTTATCCAAGCCCCTTATGGCATGGCTGATTCTTGTTCATCAGCCATAAAAAATTACCTGTGTGGCTTGTGTCCTTTGATTCAGACTACACCTACTTTACTCACTGAATTGATACAGTAGAGGCATCTAGGAATTGTTCACACACCCAGTTTAATCTCTATGGTTGATTTTGTAAATAAGACATATTCTCGCCTGCTAAAGGCTTTAGGGTATAGACCATCTTGTTAGTTGCATTAATTAGAGTGGAGGGCTATGAGAAACCAGTCCTGCATAATAATTTACTAAAGCTTCAATGAACATCTTTCATACCTATTCTTTTCTCTCTGGTTGCAGTCACCAACCTTTTCTCAGGCCCTCTTATCCAGACAATTACAACTTCCTAATTGATTTTCCTGCTTTCATTCTCTCCCATCATCAGTTTGTCTTCCACATAACTGACAAATTGACATTCCTAAAACATGGCTGCGACTTTATCGCTTCCAACTGCTTCTTGGATCAAATATAAGTTACTGTGTTCGGCATTTAGAGACCTCCATAACCCAACTCCCTACCTTTTCAGTCTCGCTTCATATTACTCCCCTTCATGCATTCTCTGTCATGATCAGCTGGTCTGCTAGCATTACCATCTTCTGCTCCTCCATCTTTGTACAGGCCTACCATACTGCTTGAGAGCCACTCCTACCAGAAGCCCTTCTTGATTTCCACCATCCTCTCCGAGTTGTTCATGTTCTCTACAACTTGAAATTATTTTTCTGTATAACTTATAATTATTATCCACATCAGGTTGTATCCCCCACTCATCCCCACACACCTCCTAGTGGAATATAAGTTCACTGAAGGCAGAGACAATTTTATTTCTGCCAATTTATCCCTATAACTTTTGTACAGAGCTTCAGACCATGTAGAAGCTTAAGAAATATTAAGTTAAATTGAATACAGAGATTGGGATTTGGTTAGGTAAACTTACATAGTCATGGACAAGGAATAAGCCATTTGGGAGTTGGGCACTGAGTTTTCTTGTTCTTCTTTAATTGCAATTGTGGAAAACAGGTAAAAATAGGGCTTAGCGTAAGCTTCTCAGAGCAACTCTGAAAAGAAAAAATAAGCTGTGGAAAAAAGAAGATGAAATGAGAATAGAGGGGGTAAAGATAGAGAAGAAGTCAGAAGGAAGGGAAAAAAAATGGATGTGGCACTGAGAAAGAACAGTGGAACCAAAGGAAACAGAGGGGATTTTCAAAAGCAACAATTCAGAGAGGAGAAACTATACATCCCTCTCTTCTTTGAAGCAATGGGAAATTATGGGTGTGTAATATTGCACATATGAAGTATTCCAAGTTAGGTTTGTTGAACTGCTTTATTTTCTTTTCTAAAACTCCTTGTTATAAGCATGAGTTGCTCATCAGCTAAGGAAGTGGGAACGAATAGATTCTGAAATGAAGGTAAGATGAAAACAAAAGTAACTATATATTTATGTATATAATTCATATTATATGTGATATAATATGATTATATAGAAATATCTGATATATTAATATACACATTATTTATATATGCAATAGTAATACAGTAATTATAAGAATTAAAAAATCAGAGACACTAATCGGCCCAAATATGTCTCCCTGTGATAAATTAGAAAAAAAAGCTTATTTTTTGACTAATCCAAGGAAAATTATTCTCTTAATTTGAATAGTTCCATAAGATCCTCTAAATTTTAAGATTATTATGGTAGTTGGTGAGGATTGTGCTATTTAATTTTTTTTCTTGGAAATATGTGTTTCAAAAAGGAGAAATGATGGCCCTTTTATTTCATCAGGCTTTGCGGAGAAGATGAACTGCCATGTTGAGACAGCAGTTAACATATCATATGAGCCACCCAAGTGGCAATTATCCCAGAAGCCTCAGACAACTGGCTACAAAGCGTTTCAATGTTCATTTTATAACACTTTGGCTTTTCTTAAATGATTAGAAGAGCCTTCATATTCTTCAAATCTGGTGTCAGACAATATTAGAAATCTAATTTAACCAGATGAGTACCTCAGCATATTAATTTTTTGAACATGTGTGTGTGTATGTGTGTGTGTGTATGTAGTATGACAGCTATCTGAATTATTGAGATGGACCTATCTATCCACCCACAGTAACATGACTTGCAACACATGTTCCTGGCTATGTACCCTTTTTAGAGAAATACTATTAAGAATCAATAAATCTGAGGATTAGTGCATTCTATATTTAAGATTTTACAATGATATTAATTCTACTCTCACTTTCAGTTATCAAGTTATATGATCTATAACCTGTTTAAATCCCACCTAGGCTATTCCAAATCTCTAGTCTGAAGGAGCTCAGCCCTTGCCATATATCATATAGATGTGGTATGTAGTTAAATTATATAATTATGTTACTGTAGTGATATAAAACTTGACAAAGTACACAACTCTATTCAACACCTTTATTTTTGTTGTTATTATAACTCCTCCCCCAACCTTTCAGGGCCTGGTTCCCTGGGGGAGGTGGAGCAGTTAGTGTTGGACTCCCTCCTGCCAGAGAACCTTAGTCAGTCCCCAGAAGCTTGCAGAAGAGCTATGTTACTATTACTTGAAATACCTACATCAGAATGAAAAAAAATCATGAAAAGTCCAGGGGAATAGATAATCAAGAGAAGTCAGAATAGGGAAAATAAACAAGCTAATCATGGCAATAACATTTACAAAAGTGAAGGAAAAATTGAATTGCTGATAACATTTAATTGTGGAATTTAAGATTTTTTTTTTTAAATATCAAGTATTTATTTACAAAATGAAATCTCTGTATTTGCTCATTGTAACTTTACGCCACTAGATGTCAGTGGTCACTAAGGAACGACTCTTCGGTATAGGTATCTCTTAACTAGCAACTTTTAACATAAAGCTGTAAGATTCATATGGTTAATACTGTCACATGTTCCTTTTCATTTGTACATGTTACATTAGCCCTTCAATAAATATGTATTTTTTTCTTTCTTTAATCTAAGTCTTTCCCCCTTTAATTAGCAATAGGAAATTAAACATAGCAATCTCTAGCATAGAAATCAAGAGATTAATCACACAAATTATAAGAACATTCCAAACGTATAGCTCACAGTTTTGCCATATTTTATGTTTTCCCCTCTTTTTGATTTTTCTTACTGCAGCCATTAGATTTTGAAACAAAAAAGGCATATACTTTCAAAGTAGAGGCTTCCAACCTTCATCTTGACCACCGCTTCCACTCAGTGGGTCCTTTTAAGGATACGGCGACTGTGAAGATAAGTGTGTTGGACGTGGATGAGCCTCCAGTGTTTAGCAAGCCCCTCTACACCATGGAGGTTTATGAAGACACTCCTGTGGGGACCATAATTGGAGCTGTCACTGCACAAGATCTTGATGTTGGCAGCAGTGCTATTAGGTAAGGATTTCTCCTTCTCTACTGCAGTCTAGAAACCATATTTGTTAATGAGACTGTCTTTTGAGGAAATCACTCATATGTATGAATACATTTTAAATACCTATGCTGATTTGTCGAAGTCATCAATAATCTCCTTGTTCCCTCCCATTACCTAAAGAAATATTTTGAAAAAACAAACAAGCAAACAAACAAATAGATATGCTTACTCCTGTGCAATTAATCACCATGGCAACCAAGTTTCCATGGTTGCTCAGGATGGGGAGAAGAGACACAGCCAAAGTCTTCCCTAGTATTAAGTTCCATAAAGCTGTGAGCAGATTGATGATGATGCCTTAGGGAGATAGTCAGCATCAGAAGGGGGTGGATCTGTCAGCAGACACAAAACCACACCTGAAACTCATGTATATATTTATAAAATAAGACCATAACTCCCCCACTGAAACCCAGTTATAACCAAGACTTTTCCCACTTGTCTCAAATACTATCTGTGTGAGTTCATTCCTACTTAACAGATTTTCCTTAATGTTTATTTATACTGAATTTCCTATTTGGAGAGGTCAAAGAGGAAAGGCATATAGTGTGATTTGCATTTTACCCCACACCCCCAAAGGTACATCTGTACCTGGAAGAAGCCAAGAAGACGTGTTGCTATGGTAATGGACCTAGTTCATTCCTCAATAGAGACCTCATCTCCTGACCACTCACACTATCCAGACCCCGCAGGACAGGAGAGTAGAGGGAAGAATTTGCCTTTCTCCCTCATCTTCCCTTCATTCCTTTCCCATTCCTAAATTGCCCAAGTCCCATGAGGCACCAGGGCTAGAAGAACCACATAGATACTCACATTGCTTGAATAAGCTGGAAGAAACACATTCTAATCCTTCTGATGAAATGGAAGACCTCCAGGCCTTAACACCTGTCGCTCTGTCCCTACATTCTTTGGGCTTCCCATTTACCCTGTCTATATGTACTCCACTCCATCTAAGACATTGTCATCCAATCTACTAGTGGGAAGCTAATGAACCCCAGTCCTGGCCATTTGCCTACATACACCCATAGAACTTCTGGATCTTTCCATCCGCCTTGAAACTGGGCTTGAATTTATGATTTCTCTTATTCAATTAGAGTGTAACCTTCTTGAAAATGGGTCCTGCCATGCACATCCACACACCTATACACAAACACAGATACATATATATTTATACACACATACATATACACAAACATATACATTTATGCTTAATTTTACATCCATTGTTTAGGAAAATGCTTGGTACGTAATCATCATTTAATAAATGCTTTTTCATTCATTCATCATGGAAACAGCTTATAAAATATAAACAAAGTCCTCCTGAGATTTCATGTCATAGGGCAAAATGGATAATAGCAACAGGAACCACTGGTAAGCAGAATACTGAGTGTAGGGTTGTTTTTACCAAGGATTTCTAGAGAACATTTGCCGGTTCCTTGCTCTTGAAATTATCTCTTAGAGTTATATGACTGTTCTTTGCTGATGTACTTCTGACATATTGAAAAACCTCCAGATGATTATATCTGGGACTTAATTCATTCCTGGACTTGAAAAGTCTGTTGGGAATCACTGTTTAAGAAATAGAAAGTGGCCTAGTGAATATGGAATTCAAGAGAATTTCAAGAAATAAGATAGGTAAAGCTATCAGTGAGGAGGGAAAACGAAATAAGCAATGTGGAAAGGTAAAAAATTGTGGAGGGCCTTGAAACTGAAGTGTTAAATACTTATCCACTGATACTTCAAGAATCTGTAATTTCATCCATGTAGATCCTCCCTCTAAGAATGAAGAAAGAAATCTCTAAAATTTAAGAGGTTATCTGTGAGAACTGATGTGGAAAAACAAAACAAAACAAAACAAAACAAAACAAAACAAAAACAAACCAACAACAACAACAAATTAATCACCAACCCGGTAATAAATCAACCTGGTAAGGCCAACCCAATGATAAATCTTTACAAATTCCTCATGCTGGTGTGCCACCAAATCCATTCTCAAACCCTTTCCAGCTTATTATGGCCTGAAGGAATGTATGTTGTTTTCATAGCCTTGCTGAAATAGCACTTAGGTTATAAGCTGGATTGGAATAATCAATATTTTCCTGCAAAAGTTAGGCTTAATATCAGCTATAGTTCGGTGGAGACCAATAAAATATCAAGAGAATCTCAATGAAGAAAGCAAATCTGCTGATATCATTTGCTTATCTGCTGATGTCATTGACATGGCAAGAATGACATATTTGAATCTTTCTAATGAAATATATTTCTTCTCCTCCAGCACCAGGTCCTCTCAGATATTTGATTTGGAATGAGAAAATTGCTTTCAAACCTCATCATGACCTTGGCAGTTAACACTAAGACTACGCAGATTACCATGATACCTTTATGTAGACTAGGGAGGAGAAAGACTAAGGAGGAACTTGGATTTGGTGATTTTTGTTCTACTTAATTGCAGCAATATTCAAATTGCTGTTTTTCCTTCCAAAAAAGGAGAAATATTAAAGATGAAGTGGGAAGCAAAGTAACAAAAAATAGAGAGACTTTGAGGTTAGGAGTGGAGGGAAGGTGAAAATAATTCAAAGAAAAAAAGAAATGGTTAGAGTCATGGATTTGTTGCCAGATATAAAGAAGGCATGTATTTTATAGATACTCACCTACCACAAGCTCATCTTTTTATATCATTGAGGCTCAGAGGTAGCTAGCATCTGACAGGTATCAAAAGGCTTATGTGAAATGAATTGACAGCTATACCCTGGTTTCTAATGGGCAGGTGCCAGCATAACTAAAACCGCAGATCCAGACAGAACTAATTGACACCCATGAGGGAAATTTCAAGAAGTAGAGCAGGTTTTGAATCAACATGAAGCCTAACCTTTCTATCCTAAGAATAAACAGTAATCTTGAAACAACCCAGTGGGACTAGCATAGGTCATGTGCTACCTTTTCTCGCTATAGAGAGAGATTTTCAGGCACAGGAACTCATAGCACAATCTCTTTATGTAAAATGAGGTTTTTTTAAGTATTTAATTTTTTAAAGAAATATTAGTATGTATTTTTCCTCTCCTTTCTTTTTCCCCCCCTTAAATGTCAGGTTAATGATAGACAAGTTGTGAATCTGAATAAGGCAACCTACTGACACTGAGTGGTCTCTGAGGGGGTTATTGGTTGCAGGCCATCATGCCTTGAAATACATACATCTATTTTTTCTTCTGTCTTTCCCCCCCCTCAGTTTCCATAGCTTTTCTCTTTCTCTTCAAGATTTTCACATCTATTCTTTCATTTTCTTCCTTTTCTGTTTCTGTTTCTCCTTTTTTCATTGGCTATGCCACAGATTAGCCAGTTGTATTCAGTGGTCCCCTTGATTAAGAAGCATTGCATAGCTTCACTGGTGGAACTTAGGTTTAAGAGGTTCCTAACAACTATTAGCCTTTCACTTTTGAATTCGTGGTAAAACAGCAAATTTTACCTATGAAAATAGAGGGAATATTGACAATTTTAATAGTCTTTGACCTATTTCCAATCGTATATAAATAGGGCTGGAATAAACTAGTACAAATTTGGTCCGATGCTATTCCATTCTGGAAGGCTCAGGAGCAATCAAACCCCAACCTTGATCTGTGTGATTTTTGCCTCATTTTCTGGCTCAGGTCCTGCTCTTCTTTGTATCTCTCTTTTTGTTTCTCTCTTTCACATGAAAACTTCCAAAGGAAGGAAGAGGAAATGATGATCTTATACTATTTCCCATTTAGATATAAATACGTATCTTGGTTTATATTTACAAAAAAATGAAGGTTCATTGCTATTCTTAGGTGTAATACTTGTAAAGTGTTTAGCTCAGTGTCATTTAGGAATATTATTGCATTAATCTATCATAAATTAAAGTTTTATTTTTACATATTTGTAACATCTCAATAAATCCTAAAATAAATTATTATTATGCATTCTTTAATATTCAGAGAGGCATTAGGGATCATCTAATCCAACTCACTCTTTTTGTTGATGGTGATACTAATGCACAGGGAAAGAAAGCCAAGTGATTTGCTTGCATAATATCACTGGGGTAATCATTTCAATGCAGGTCCTCTGACTCCAACATCGGTGCCTTTGACACAGCAGCACCACACTGCCTCCATATAATTCTATTTAAAGTGGATAATTTAGTCATGTTGGTGGTGGTATCTGTGGAAGCAAAATTAAGATGTCAGAGGCCATCGCGTTCAACCCTAATCTGAAAAAAATCCCCACTGTAACAGATTTGATCAAAGGTTATATTCCTGTAGGAGCATCTCCAAAGGGGGTGGAGTATCTTACTGGCTCCTTAACTAGAATAATAACATCTACATTTCTATGGTGTTTTAAGGTTTGCTAAGTCATTTATATATTTTAATTCATTTGACACCCACAATAAACCTATGTGGTGCTATAATTATTTTTATTATTTCCATTTTACAGATTAGGAAACTGAGACACAGTGAGGTTAAGTGATTTGCCCAAGATCACACAGCTAGTCAAGAGCTGAGGCAGTATTTGAACTTAAATTTCCTGACTCCCCACTGTGCCACCCAGCTACTGCCTTATGCACTTCATTTTATTTCTGGTTAGTTCTAACTGTTGAGAAAGGTTTCAATTTTTTTTGGGGGGGTGACATTAAGCCAAAATTTGCTTCTGCAGTTTCTACCCATTGTTCCTAGTTCTATCCTCCATCACTGAATGAAACAAATCTAATATTCTTACACAGATATTTATCATGTCCCTCCTTGTCCTTCTGTTCTTCAGGCAAAGCCTTATGAGTTCTTCCAACTAATATTCATCTGATATTGACTCAGGGACATCCATCTTTGGTTTTGCCTTCCTCTGGATGCTCTCTGTAGCTCATTGTTGTCCTAAAAATGTGGTTCCTATAACTTGAATACAATGCTCTAGCTGGGCTCTGACCCAGGCATAGTACAGATCCTCTGTTCCCTCCTCCTTT